GGAATCGGTAACCCAAGTATGTTTTGCCCGGATCACGGGAACACCGTGGGGCTGGAATGGTCCGTTTAGGCGTCTTTCAGACGGGGCGTGGTGGGCAAAACTGGGGCGGGCTCCTGGGCCAATTGTCCTTCTCAGGGGCTCTTTGGGCAGAGGGATCTCCGCTGTTTCCTCCTCGCTGTGGATCAGGAAGCCACTGCCTGGAGAGCATTGGAAAGTTCGGGGTGGGGCGGTCTGGAGGCCTTGTCCCACTCTGCCCAGTTGAGGGGGGTCCCCTCTGCTGGCGAGGTGAGCCGGTCAGCAGTTCGGTGGGCGGCAGAGGAAGGTTTCTGGGAGCAGCGCTTCAGAGGACAGGATGTGGCTTTTCTGGGGGTGGAGAGGCAGATGGTTCTACCTGAGCGGGCGGGGGGAGAAAGGCAAATATCGGGGCCAAGCGGCAGCATGATGCTTTTTTGCCTTCACGCTTGATCGAAGGAATCCTAGTTCACAAAAGCTTCTGCAATTGTGTGTGCGTGTGCGTGCGTGTGTTTCCTCAGGAGGCTCCTGACTCTCTCTTTACAGGCCCCCCCCCCTTGGGGCTGGCCAGGACAGAGTCATGGAGAGCACAATGTGTGCGTGTGTGCGTGTGTGTGTGTCTGGGGGGGGAGCCGGGTTCCCCCTGCTGCTTCTCTTTGGACCTTTGCCCTCACCTCCTTCCTGCCACTCCTTCAGTTCCTCGGCTTCAGGGTCAGGTGGGTTCAGTGGCTGTTTGGGGGAAGGGGAAGGGGAAGGGGGCGCACCCGAGGAGCAAAGGGCAGTGGCACATTGCCTGCCTTTTAGGGCCTGTGGGAAGTGGAGTAGCCCCGCCCCAGGGTATCTGGCTTCCCCCGCCCCGCCTTTTCCTTCCTGCTTGCCCCAAAGCCATGTTTCCGTCTAGGCCAATCCCCCCTCAACTGCTTTGCTGCATCGGGTCGGGCATCCTTCTGGAGAGGGCCAGCCAAGCAGGAGTCCCATGAGCATTTAAGTGTCTTCTTACCTCCTTGGGCAAGCTTTCCTCAAAACGAACCCCTTCCAGGACACTCCTTTCGGGCCCAGGGCTGGGCCCCACCCTTCAAAATCCATGGGACCATAATCAGCTCACGCACAGAGTGCAGGCATCGTGTCAGCAAGAGGAAATGCACCTTGGCGCATCTCTCTCTGGGATCCCTCAGCCTGAGGACGGTGCTGTTGGCTCAGCTGTGCAATATCCATTATGCCTGCCTACGCTGGACGGAGCCGGGGCGTCCGTGTGCCACAGGATCCCCAAATCCCGCGGAGCCGTCCTACCAGCCTTGGGTGATGTGATTCTTGAGGATGGAAAGGGCAGGAGTGCCAGGGACTCTCTCTGGGTGCGTGTGCGAGTCAGAGAAGGGTGCTGTTGCCCTCCGTTCCGTGTCTGAGCTGGTGAGCCCCTGCCGTGTTGGGCGATCTGTGCCCGATCCTGCCCCTGGAAAGGGTGTGGCCTGCTAGGGACTAGGGCGCACTTGGGCTGCTCCTGTGCCTGCTCTGCGGTGCTTGTGTAAAGCCAGAGCCGCAGGAGCCGCAGCCCAGTGGATCAAACAACCCTTTTCCTGCTACTAAAACCTCTTCCTGTTTGCATAGGTAGAATCTCAGTGTGTCTTCCTGGAGTCCAAGGCACCAAGAGTGTTGCAACATAGCGTGTTGTGAAGACCAAAGCCTGCCCAGCATCTTGGCTGTTTACAGCCAAGAAGGAGAGGGCCAACAGTGGAAACGCAGGTGCTGCTAAACCGTTTCTGCAGCCATTGTAAAGCAATTACAGTGAAGTTTAACTGCTGAGTTTCCAGGAGAGAAATGATCTAATAATTGCACCCGGTTGATGGCTGGAGGAGAATTGACAGCTAACGCTGCAGGAAGATTGAGTTCAGGAAAACAGGAGTTTCCAGAGTCTCCCCCTCACTCGGAAGGAGCATCCGGTCACTCACGCCTGAGTCACCTCCTGTTTGGATTATTGTAACGTGCTCTATGTGGGGTTGCCCTTAAGACCATCCAGCGGCACCACAGTTCGGGTGTCCCATGGCTCACCCGAGTAGCACCACTGCTGCGTGAGCTGCACTGGCTCCCAGCTGCATTCTAGGTGCAGTTCGGGGTGCTGGTTGTCACCTTTAAAGCCCTACGTGGCACAGACCAGCCTCTCCCTGAGGGTATTTGCCCGTTAAACAGGGTGGCTGTGCTCCAGGTCCCCTCCCTTAAAAGTTGCCACCTGATGGGACCTCAGAAGCGCACCTTCCTGGTGGCCACCCCAGCCCTTTGGAACAGCCTCCCACCGGAGGTCCGAGGGATCCCTGCCCTTCTAGCCTTCCGGAAGGCCATGAAGACAAGCCTTGGGCTAGGAGGACAGTTGAGCCAGGAGGCTGCTTGGTCTGGCGCCTGGGGGGAAAAGTGCCTTTGTTTTTATCCTGTTTTTAGGGATTGTCGTGAGCTGCCTGGAATCGTTGTATGAGATAGGTAGCCATACGAGTTCTGTTAATAATAATAATAATACATTTGGCCAAGCCAGGATGTTTTACTATGATTTGTTGAAGAAGCCTTAATGAGTGGGTTTGTGTATTGCACTAAGCAAAAGAACATATCGCATTATGGCTTAGCGTTACATCTAAACCGGAAATGGGCTGTATCTGCCTATTTTCTGTTTTCAAGTCCCAGTGAGAGAAAAGCATCACTTAGCCCTCTTCTTAAAGGACAGGGATGCAAATCCACTGGGAAAGGGTTCTGCAATCATGCAGCCACTTACCAAATCCCCCTGTCTCCTTCTGGATACGGTATCCTGATGTCAGATTGGGGAGACTTGCGTTTGGAAGAGGAGAGCCCCTTAGATATGCTGCCTCTGTGCAGAAGCTGTTGGTGAAACAGCTTTGGCTCAAGGTACGTGGTAGCCCAAGAGCTGGTCCTGAGTTCTAGGAATTGGCTCCCCAGAGGATCCTCCCAGTGGGGGGAGGAGAGCTCCGGGGGAGATTCCCCTCCTTCCGTTAAGTAAGCCTTCAAGTAAGAAAAATAGTCAGCCTTTAGCTGTGAACAGATGAGAATAATGTTGCTTTACCACTTGCATTAGCAAAACAGTCATGCACAGTATTTCTCACGTGGAAGAATAATAGAGTTAGGAGGTACCTTAGAGGTCATCTAGCCCAACCCCCCACCCCAGGCAGGAACCCTCAGGCCATCCCAGCAAATGGCTGCCCAATCCTTGCTTGAAACCCTCCGGTGAGAGAGCCGCCGCGACTCCAAGAGGCAGCTGGTCCACGGGTTCATAGCTGTCATGGTCGGGAAATTCCTCCATATTTTGAGTCTGGGTCTCCCTCAGTAAAGCTTCTGCCCATCTGACTAGGAAACTAGGCTGTGCCTTCTGTGAGGAGAGATGGAAGGAGCGGACTGCCCCCTGGAGAAAAGGGGAGGCTGAGGGGGGCATGTAGAAGAGCACAGGGCATGGAATAAGGCATTTCCGTTACAGGGAGGTGGGTCCAGATCGAAGGCGAGCAGCAGTTCCTAGCGATACTAGCGGCTGAACGGTGGAACCAGAGAGGTGGGGGGGTTGTCTTTTTTTGACTCCAGGCCGAAGCACACCAGTGGTGTCCTCAGAGTCTTGCACGACCCGGCTAAATGGGCTGCAGTTCAGGAGAACCCAGAAAATCTTGGTCAAAACACATCCTGGGTGCGCAGAGCCAGGTGGCGAGTCTCCGCTTCTGCCTGGCCTGCCTTCCTGCTCGCCCATCTTCCCAGTGCCTGCCTTTGCTTAGCCACAGCCAATAGTGGTCGCAAGTGTGGCACAGCCAGCCCCTCGCCAGCCGCTGCCTCCTGCTTTTGTGTTTCTTTTCAGCCTCCCTCTTCTGCCCTGGACAAAATGTCTGTGGACCGCCTAGGATGCTGTCTTGTGCGCAGAGCGCTCTGTGTGTGGAACATTTTGCGCATCCCTTGTTTTCAAGCAGAGGCCAGACAGCCATCTCTGACTAGGATGGGTCAGTTAGGATTCCCGCTTGGAAGAGAGGGACAGATGCCCGGCTTAAGTGGCCCCGTCCAAGGATTCGGGGGAGAGGGGTTGGGTACTCCTGTGGTTCAGAGAGATGCTGCGAGTGTCACCAGGAGGCCCTTCCATCACGGTGCAGAGAGCGAGGGTTTGCTCCTGCAGTTGGTCTGAGCGGGCCTATCCCCTCCCCCCGACCCACAGCCTCCCCACCTGAACTGGTGGGACAGTGCTGGAGGTGGGGAGGGAGAATTCAAGCTAGTGGTCCGCATCTGCGTGGAGCTGTCTTTTGAGTGATAGCTCAAGACACGTTGGGCCTGTCTCAGTATGAAGCAGGGCGTACTCTGCATCTAGAGGATGGTGTGAAAGTAGAACGGGCTGGCATTTCCACTTTGCATGGCCTAATCTTCTTGGTGAGGCTTAGACTACTGCCTCTCCTCTTCCTGGAGGTGGGAATTCATGAGGAAGTTCTTCAGGCTCTTCTCTGTCACCCCAGAGGCCTGGATAGGGAATCGCAGTCTAGAAGCTTTCTTGGGGTAACAGCAGTTTGAGTCTGTCTGGGCTGCTTAGATCTGGATTCCTGCTCTGGACAAGGGGTTGGGCTCCATGGCTTCAGTGGGACCTTCCAGCTCCAGGATGCTGGGTGAATCAGATGGAACCTGTGCAGGTTCCGAAGAATGCGCAACCCCTCTAAAGTCACACAACACACGAGCTGCACAGCTGCCCCTTTTAAGGGGTAAGCCTAACCAAGCAAAACCTTTCTTCTCCTTGTTCACAAAGACCCTCCTCACAGTCCCTTCAAAGAGGCAGCCTCCCCCTCCCTTCTACTGGCAGGCGACAGACAGCGATGCCAGAAAATACCTAGTTTAATGGCCTTTCTGCCACTGCCATTTATTCCTCTTGCCCTGAGTTCCCCTCAACCCAACTGTATTTTTGTTGGCAGCAATGATGCATCTTGGGCAAAGCTTTAAATAAATAAAACGTTTTCTGTGCTGGAGTTGTGAGAATCCCAAGGCCTTTTGTCACTGTCATGGAATGCTGCTTCCAGCCACAAAACACGGGCCCAGAGGAAATGCACAGGATGCTGCAGCAGTATGTGCTCTGCGCATGGCTGACACCGATAAGCCCCCCTCTCGCCTTGCCTAGATCTGCCTCCGCTGCCCGGGAAGTGCAGGAGTCTTTTAGGGAAGGACGCACGAAACAGGCAGCGCTGCCTCTGCAGGGGCCCTCAGCCACAGGACAGGCCCCGTGATCCAGCAGCCCCCTCTTTGCACCCAGGGAAGGGTGGCCAGAGCTCCCCAGGCCCCCGCAAGGCCACCCTGGCCTTCCAGCTGTAGGACGCCTGCAGTGCAGCACTGCTGCCACGCCCCTCCCCACCAGATGAAGACTTCTCCTCGGCCGCCTCTGTCCTCGCCCCCGGGCGGTGGTGGGGCTGTCCCGTCTCCTGCGGGCTGCTTTAGTAAAAGCCTGTCCTTGGTGTGCTCCCTGCCTGCCTGCCTGCCTGCCTGCCGGTCCCTTTCCGGGAGTGTGTGGAGGAGTTTTATCTGGCTTGAGGACAAACCTGGGTGTCTTGCTTTGCACAAACAGTAAAAGGGATGCCCCTGAAAGGCAGGCTCCAGCCGCTGCCCCAAACCCCACCTGTCTCCCGGGTGCAAGACGCGAAGGGGTGCAGCCTCTCCACGGCCGCTTTAGTGTGCCGGGAAGGTGGGTCCCTGGCGGCTCCTGCTCGCGGAAGACCTTTGCTCCTGAGTGGCTTCGGCGTTGCACTTGTCGTGACGCTGACCCTCCGTGATGCGCTCAGTTCCTACGGGAGGACGCTGCCGGCCGCCTGGTCCCGTTCCCAAAGGCCGGTAACGGATGAGGCCGGGCTCCAACCCTGGAGCTGCCCGGGGCTGGCAAGGGCTCGGGAGCCGGTGCTGCTTTCAGCTTTCCTGCATTTAGGAATTACCGAGTTATCCATTTAAGCTGCTATTGATTTTGTTTGGTAGATTCCAGGATCCAGTCTGCCTTTAGCTGCTATTCTCTATCTAATATTTGTTTTACAATTTCTTTAACCATAGAGCTTGATTTCATTAGGCCTTCTGGACTCCTTATTCTCTGTAGTTTGAAGAACATTAAGAACATTAAAAACTTTCAAATGAGTCTGAAATTATAAGAGAAACCCAACTTTTAGCCTTGGGCAAAGTAGTCTTAATCAGAAATTAATACCTAAAAGCCATATTCTGGGATCAGTTAATCTCACTTCTGCTCTCAGATATATAAAACTGCTTCAGGTACACATTTTGGCACCCCAGGAACTCCTGCAGAACCCTTCCCTGAAATTCCTGACATCCAAAGGGGTTTCATATAGGAATTGAGGCAAAGTTTTGGGTTGACAGATTACAATCGCTGATAAAAATATAGTACCTGCTCTTAGGTAGACAAAGCGGGTAATTGTGGCTGCATCTTGTTTGCTTTCAAAGTTGCTAAGATGCCTGAAGTATTAAATCTAAATATCTCAAACTACCCGCCCTGGGTAACTGCTATCTACGTTCCGCATGTATCTCTGCCCTTTTAAAGAGAAAATCATGACTTTCGTCTTTTGGCAATTAGTTACAAGGTGTTCTCATAGCACAAGCTGCCAGATGCCTTAATGACCTTCTTAACTCAAGTGATACCTAAGCAACAATAATGGGACAGATCTGTCTACCAGCCTTGAAGGATGAGGCATTGAGGGCATCGACTCAGCTTCCAGATCATCAATATGCAAATAATTAATATTGGAGCTTGGTTGACTTGTCTTGGAGTAGAAACTAAGCCCTAGTTCTCCAAATTGGTTGAATGCACCAAAAGGAATTGTGCTAGCTGTGTCTGCATTAACTTAAGGTTAAAGTCAAATTTAGTTTTTGCCTGGCCTACTCGTATTTTAGAGGGGGTGTCCAGCATGCCCTGCAGAGGTCATCTGAAAACAAGTTGTATCTCCTGGTTGGTGCCCAAGCAGAGCAGGTGAGAAAAAGCAAATGCTCAAGAAACCTCCTGGAAGAGCAGTCTGACTCTTCAAAGGACGGTACCCGTGAGCAGGCACTGAAAACCTTTTGCCTGGAGAAGAGCTGGGGGCCTTCCCTCTTGTCCCCCCAAGGCAGAGGGTCCTCAGAGCATCCCACCAGATGGGTCTTCTAGCTGAAGACCAGGCGCCCTGGCTGGGTGAGCCTCCCAAGGAGGGTCAGGGGTTCCTGTGAGTGTCAAGCAGGCTCTCTGTGACTCCTGTGACCGCAGGAGTCTCTGTGTGTGTGTGTGGGGGGGGTGTGATGACCCATTTTTCTTCCTCCAGAGAAGCTGTACCGTTCCAAGGGTCCCGAGCTGAGGCGTTCTCTCTTCTCCCTCAAGCAGCTCTTCCAGGTAAGCCCCTGGCAGTGGGGTGTCCTGCCCTTCAGCTCTCATTCCGGCTCTGTTTGCTCCTCTGTGCCCAGGTTGGGCCCCAGCATCCCCTGCCTGCTCCTCCTGCCGCTGGTCCTTCTCACCTGAGGCTGGCTGGGCCTGTTGCGGATGATGCCAACGGGATGGAGCAGCCCTGCCCAATGGAGGGAGTGCTTTGGGCCCTGCTTCCCCACAATGCTTGGGTTGCCTCTGGCCTTGGGAGGCTTTCAGGCTCGGACTTTGGCTACAGGACGATAAGGATCTGGTGCCCGAGTTTGTGAACTCCGAAGGGCTGACATGTCTCATCACAGTGGGAGCTGAGGCGGACCAGAACTACCAGAACTACATCCTGCGGGGTGAGTCTGCCCGAGCAGCTGCTGGGAGCCAAACTGGGTCCAAGGGGCAGCCCAGGCCAGGAAGAAGAGGTGCCTTGGGGCACTTCCCTGCATGCCCTGGGCACCTCTCGCCCCTCCCTCCCATGGGGAGGCAGGAAGAGATGCCACACAGTCGGGCAGCTTCCTGCACGTCGGTAGGGAGGGGGGCATGATCCTGGCTGAAGTGGAGGAAGGTTTCAGAAGCCCAGGTTGCCCTGCCCTGGGAGAGGGGCAAGGGGCGAGTGGCACCAGCATGTGCACAGCTCTCGTTTGCCCTCTTGTGGAGAACTGCGTGAACAGCTGGCCACTTGGAGTTGGGGGCAAGGTGGGAGGAGAGCCTTAATCAGGCGCGAAGAAGTCTATGCTTTTTCTGCTTCCCTTCCTGCAAAAGGTTGTTGGCTATCAGCCTCTGCGGCTTACCATGGCGCTCTCCCCCCGGCCCACCCCCCG